CTCCAGGAAAGCCCTCAGGAGGGGGCTGCGTGACTGTGGCTGAGACTTCCGACTCACACTTGGACATTTTTGGGCGAAGATGCCCTCAGAGTCTTCTCAGAAATGGGGAGGTGCTTCTTGCGAGGTGCACTGCTTCCCCTGGGAGCCCAGGGCCGCTCTCCCCGCCTCCTGTCCTGGCCCCGTGCTTGACTCAGCCCCGGAGGACAGTCTGATGAAGCAAGGGGACCTTTCTTTTTCACGTTTAATATAACCTGACAGATGAATTGGATTGTAATGAATAAATTATCTAAAACCCATTTCCGTTTCTTTGTTCGAAATGAAAACATGGCCTTTAGTATGTTTTTCAAGAGAAAGGAGAGATGCTTTGGTGAGGAATTCTCTGAATGTGTAGCTTTGGTGGGGGAGAAGCCAGACGTCTGCCCGGAGGGCCCTGGGGTGTGCAGCGGCCTCCCGCACAGAGGGGCCTGCACTCGTCCGGCCTGTACAGCCGGTTCCACTGAGGTGACGCGGGACGGGAGAAACAGCTGTGCTTTGGCCGCTGGTTCTGTTCTTTGCTCCTGCCGCTGTAGGCCCGGCCTGAAGCCTGACAAACTGCCCAGGGTCTTTCTGAGAAGGGAAATGAGATCTACGTGCTCACGTTCTAATAAGAATTCATTCTCAAAGGTCATTTTCCTCAGTGCGGTTTAATAGAGTTGATTTTGTTTTTCCCAGTGGGTATGGACTTCCCACATCTGCAGTCTCACTAACCCGAGCACACGCAGCTACGGTTTCAGATCAGATCGCCTCTCCTCAAAGGTAGAGGTTCTCACTGGGACAGGATCCCCCTCAGGACACATTGGCAATGTCCAGAGACCTTGTTGCTCCACAACTGGGCAGGGACACTGCCAAACATCATGCAGTGCCCGGGGGGGGAGGGGGCACACTCAGTGATCGGCCCCAAACGCCCCCAGTGCCAGGCTGGGAGGGTGCAGGGAGGGTGCTGGGGAGTGGGCGCGGAAAGGGGCTCTCTTCCCCACTGTGCCCCAGACACCTCTATCCACGTCCCACTCTGCCTGGTGGAGCGCTTGCCGAAGCTTACACGGCTTACACGGGTAATGTATAATGCCTGTTTGTTCTAAAATATTGGAAGAATGTAGAAGTATATCATAGTCAACCTTGGAGATTACCCTTTTCCTCTTTCCTTTTAGTAGTTTGTGTGCCTTTTTATCTTTTTAGAAAGTACAAGTAATTTCTGTTATAAAAGATTCCAAGAGAACAGAAGTATTAAAGGAAACGGATAATACACCTTTGCCCCAAAATGCACACTGTTACCTCCCCAGCCCTTAGTAGTTCGATCCTTCTCCCTTCAGTACTGTTTCTATGACAGACACTTCCCGAGTTCCCATTGGGTGCAGAGCAGAGCCCAGTCGCGCATGCTTCACACACAGAGCCTTTTCCTTTTCTTCCCACAAAATGGTATGTTGTCTGTGCGATGTTCTAAGACTTGCACTTTTTAAATCATAATAAGTCTTTGATATCTTCCCATGTCAACCCATAGCAATGAGCCCAGTCTTTTTAGGGCTGCATGGTGTTCCATCATGTGGATGTATGGACATTCTTTTGCTTAATGGTCCTTCCCATTGAAAGTGCAAGGATCCAGGCTAGGCTGTGATGGTCCACGAAAGTCGTTGGGGCTTGCTGTGGCCTCCTCGGGACGTGGGGCCTAGGCCCCTTCCATCCGACACTCCCCTTCTGTCCCTCTGCTCTTGTCCTCTGCACGGTCAGAGATGTCTCAGCATGTCTACATTCCCACAGGGGAGAGAGAGAGGAAGAGGTGAGCAGGAGGGTAGCACTGATAATTTGGACACATCGCTTCTGATCATGTCCCATTGGCCAGAGTTTGGCTGCAAGATCAGACTGAGGTGCAGAGGAAGCTGGGAAATGTACTCAGCGGGAACTTGCATTGGGGAAGCAGAGGGAGGAAAGACAGATTAGACGAACTGTCTCCTCCATGGTGGCATTTAGATAGCTGTCAGGATTTTACCAGCTAGAGTATCGTATATCCTTGTACACACATTTCTGCATGCAGATGCAAGTATTTCTATAGGATGGACACCTAAGTCAAAGGGATGTACATTTTTTTTTTTAAAGATTTTATTTATTTATTTGAGAGAGAGAGAATGAGAGAGAGCACATGAGAGGGGGGAGGGCCAGAGGGAGAAGCAGACTCCCTGCCGAGCAGGGAGCCCGATGCGGGACTCGATCCAGGGACTCCAGGATCATGACCTGAACCTAAGGCAGTCGCTTAACCAACTGAGCCACCCAGGCGCCCGGGATGTACATTTAAAATTTGTATGTACTACCGAATTGCCTTCTAAAAAAGCTTCCCGGGCCGTGTGGGGGCTCAAGTCAGTTGAGTGTCTGTCTGACTCATGATTTCGGCTCAGGTCATGATCTCAGGGTCATGACATCAAGCCCCATGTCGGGCTCCATGTTCAGCGCTCAGCAGGGAGTCAGCTTGAGATTCTCTCTCTCTCTCTCTCTCTCTCTCCCCCCCTCCCTCTGCCCGTCCCCCCACACATGCTCTCTTTCTAAAAAATAATAATAATAACAACAAAAAGCTTCCTTATTTTCATACCTACCAACAATAAACTGGTGCCTTGTTGAACACATCCTGGTCTATTCATCTTCTTTTTTTTTTTTTTTTAAGATTTTATTTATTTTTTTGACAGAGAGACACATAGCGAGAGCAGGAACACAAGCAGGGGGAGTGGGAGAGCGAGAGAAGCAGGCTTCCCGCCGAGCAGGGAGCCCGATGGGGGCTCGATCCCAGGACACCAGGATCATGACCTGAGCCGAAGGCAGACGCTTAACGACTGAGCCGCCCAGGCGCCCTGGGCTATTCATCTTCTTTATTTCTTTCTACCTTGCTGGACGAAGACAGATACATAAATAGACAGATGGTTCTCATTGTAATCTGTGTTTCCATGATTCATCGAGAGCGTGAAACTCTTTTCATAAGCCTTCATCATTCCTGCTTCTGAGAGTTGTGTGTTTGTATCCTTTGCCTATTTGTTTCTTATCATTGTTGGTCTGAGCAGAAACTCATACCCATGTACCCTCTAAAAATCCTGTCCCGTGTGTTGTACCCACTTTGTTCTTGAATTGCTTATCATTGGTGTGTTGTCAGAATTATGTAATTTTTGTGTTTCTATATTTCTCCTTAAGACTTCTGAGTTTTGTGAGTAAGAGGGCTTTCTTGCACCAAAATAAATAAAAATCTTTGATTCTGTTTTTATATTTAGTTTTAAAATCTATCTTGATTTTTTTGTATGTAGAATTTCAGCAATATTGAATGGCTAGTAGATTTTATAGTGTCACTTATGGAATTATTGTTCTTCCTTCACTGAGTTAAAATGCCACCTTCATTATAATTATATATGTGGGTCTATTTCTGGATGTTCTTTTCTGTTGATTTGTTTTTCTTGCCCTCCCTAATACCATCCTGTAATTACCATGGATTTATAGTATATTTAATATCTGGTAGTGCAGGTCCCTACTCATTATTCTTTATTTAAAAATGGGTGCGTGGGTTTTTTTTCTTTCTTTCTTTTTTTTTTTTTTTTTGTGCTATTCTTGTGTATTTCTCTTCTGCACTAACTTTAGAATCAGCTTGTCAAATTGCTGGTATTTGGACTGGGCTAGCGTTGACGCTATAGACTCCTTAGGTTAGGCTTGATGTATGTGGAAGCCTCGGTGAGCAAGCTCAGGGACAGCATTTCCAAGCATTTTCGTTCGTAGCGCAGTGATGACCAGCCAGCCACAGAGGAGGCAGGTCAGCAAGGCGAAGCGGCCCAGCGTCAGCAGAGTGGGGTCCCTCTTGGGGTACAGATGTCCACTCCCTCACGCACACATACCTGTGCTGTCTGGACGTGGCCTCATCCCATCTAGGTGGACTTAGATCTTGTCCTTTGCTGTGCGTTTCAGGAAAGCCTCTGCCAGCCACCTCCGTCACAGACTTTCCTAGGCCCTGCTGCGTACTCTTGTCTTCTGCCCTGTTTTCCTGGCGTGTTCTCACCGCCCTCATGGTAATACCGGAGGCGGTTACTGTGGATCAGCTGCTAGAAATGCAGTCCCCTTCACTGCACGCGTGCAGAGCTGACTGATGCCAGCTTCGCCAGGGGAAGGGTACATGAGGGGGGTGTTCCCTGCAGAAGGGTCGCTGCAGACTGTTGCCTCGGAGTGAGGATTGTCCTCGTTTCTCTAGTGAGGTGAGAACATCCTGCTCTGCGATTACCAGTCATCTCTTGAGTGTTTTCGAGTACTGAACAGGACAGTGTGTCCAGTAAAATATTGCACTTAGTGGATTCATGTTAATAAGTTTCTGTTCTGTGGTTTGAAAAAATCAGAGTGCCAAATCACTTGCATCCTTTAAGTGTGATTTCCAAGTCATCTGGAGGATTAAGTGCTTATAGGCATCTCTGAAATAGAAGGTACAATGGGGAAAAAATGCAAATTTTAGCCTAGGCAGCTCCTCAGAGCATTTCCCTGGTAAGTGAGGTGCATGGTACATTCTAGAAGCACAGACAAGTCACAGAGGAAGATGGCGAGCAGGGAAAGGGGCACATGTACGTCCTTTAAGTGTGTAAGAGGAGGCCGTGGTTTGGTTCCCAGGGGTGGGAGAGGAAGGTAAATGATGAAGCCCTGCTGGTAGGACACGTGGAGGGAAATCCCGCTGTGGGCAGGAGCCCATGTTTCCAGGAGACAGCCAGCCGCTGAACCCAGCGGTGACTGCTGAGGAGCTTCCAGGGCCGCCGTCCGGCACTCACAGGTCTGGGTACAGAGGCACGCGGGCACACCCCAGGGGCTTAGTTTGCTGTGATTGACCGCATGTACGAGCGGTGACTCAGCCCTCCGTGCCGCCTGGCCCACCGTGTCGTCCCTCCCTTGTCGTGCAGGGGCTGGTTGGCGGTCCTGTGCAGGAGGCGTAAGTCACGCGTGCACTGTGTTTTGTTTTCCAGAACTACACTCAGTACATCCCTCTGTCCATATATGACCTGCAGACGTGGATGGGCAGCCCGTCGATATTCGTCTACGACTGCTCCAACGCTGGCTTGATCGTCAAGTCCTTCAAACAGTTTGCCCTGCAGAGGGAGCAGGAACTGGAGGTGAGGCCCCCGCCCCAGGACTGCTGCTGAGTTTCCCGTTTCCTCCCAGCGGGGGGCGGGGGGGCGACTCCCTCAGCGTGCTTGGGGCGCCGTGGTGGATTCTGTGACAAGGAGCTGGAGAGGCACTCGGCACGAGCCTCGGGCTGCATTTTTACATCTCATTTTATTCTGTGTCATTTTTAGTCTAAACATTAATTAAGTGATAACATTAACAGAGTTGATTTGCACTCCAGTGGTCTCTGCCTCTGAGATAAATGTTAAAGTAAAGCAGACACATCGATTTTAGGAGAAACGGACCCATATCTGGGCATAGCCATCAATTCTGCATCTTTGTTATTGTCCCCATCGTGTGTGTGTGCGTGTGCGTGTGTGTGTGAAAAACACCCCACTGAGCTAAATACAGAAAACGAACTCAAACATTTGCCATCAGTCACTTCTGTTTGAGGAGCTGGAGAGCCGGTGCCGCGTTCTGCTCACGAAGAGACATTTCACTCTGTTGTTTTAGTTAATATTTGATGTTTGAACCAAACAGTGAATTCTGAAGAGAAGTTGTAGAGGCATTTTCAGTTAAGACACCTCCATCCTGTGGTTTGCGCGAGAGCGTGGGAATAAAATATTCTGCAGCCTTGAGGGGATGACGAATTCCGATTGGTGGCAGTGCGGGAAATTCTCAATTCCGGAACAAAAATGGTCCTGAGTACATGTTTCCTCAAGCCTTTTTGGGTCTATTCAATTTTAATGTATTGTTGTGCTTTTCATGTTTCATCAGAGGATGTGGATGAAATAATCAGCAATAAAATTTGGAATTCTATGTGGTAGAATTTAAAATTAACATGTCATGCAGTTCAATATTTTATATTTATAAATGAGGTCCCTGTGCAGAACATGGCATAAGAGTGACTGATAAATACGGTGCCCTTTATCCTTGGAAATGGGGCCCAGCTCCACGAGGCATGATTTTTGCATTCTGTAATAAGAGAAGGGGAAGACCACGTTTTGTATCATCCGATTATTACCATGGTTTTAGGCTTTTCATCCACGTTTACCCAAGGGACAGGTTATCTAATGAGCACTAAAGACTCAGAGCACCTAGAGCTGATTTGCTTTTCCTCACATTCAAGTAATAAATACTGCAAAAAACGTTTTTCTTTTTTACATTTAAAATATGTAAATGAAATGCCAAAGAATGCTGCCTGATTTTTATCCCAATTCATGAGCTTCAGGGTGGTAAAGGAAAAACAGTACATCTGCCTCCACAGAAAACAGCGAGGTGGACGTGGCCTCTCCCCTCGCGGCCTGAGGAAGGCGGGCGCTTCCCCAGGCATGGGCCTGAGCACCGACTTCCCCACACGCTGTGGGTCTGCCCTGTCACCACCTTGTGCTCTCTGTATGTCGCCAAGCCTTACTCAGCCTTGGAAACTGTTCATTTTGGTGAGCGTGCCAAAAAAGGTTTCAATGCATCTTTTTTGGGGAGAAAATGTTTAATTGACTAATTCCTCATGGGGGAGAGCAAATGAGAAATACATTATCTGAAGTGGCAAATAGATGGCAGTACAAAGTTATACCATCTGTTTTATAATTAGCTCTTTTATCTTCCTTCTTTTTTTTTAATTACAGTGTAGATAAGTCTTGTGTTTTGCCATCACACTTACTATGATTGGCTATTGTTCGGTTGGTCTCTTGCATAAACAGTGGAAATTAAAATGATAAAATTGGTTCCCAGCTAATATCTTAATGTTTGTTTTAGTCATTTTAAGGTGTGCTGTACAAACAGAAATCCTGTGTAGTCTCTTAGCTTTATTCTTTTATGTAATTCTTACCCACTCTACAGTTGGTTACATTCTTTGTCAACTTACAGTACATTGTAACGGCTTTATTGGGTAGGTGATGACACGTGAGCTGAAAGAAGTTGGCAAGTGAAACGGTTTGTGCCAACATTTAAAGAGTAGAGGATGCAAGCGATGGCACAAAATGCATGAAGATGGTTACTTGGACCGGAGAGCCTCCAAGGTGTAAACATGAGCACAGGTGTGAGGGGCGTGCGTTTGGACAGGTGGCCGTTGGCGCTCACATTTTCTGCGGCACCTACTGCCTCTCCGCAGGACCGGGGGCGCCCCCGAGGAGCGTTGCCGGTGCGGTAGAAGCTCCCTCCCCCCGAAAGCACAGCAAAAGTTACACTTGCAACTGGAACCGCATCGCGGAAAACACATTGTCTGTCGCTCAGTCATCTGTACATTTTTCGTTGTGTCATGTTACTTTGTAATTTGAACGTTAGAGTCAGTCTTCAAATCTCTGTGCTTGCAATGTTCTTTTTAAAGTAAGTAGTTTTATTATTACCAAACGAGGATATGCCATGATTTTAGAGATCAGATAGCACAGAGGGCCAGTGATGGTTGAAGTAGGCCCCGGCCCCACGCATCCCAGCCAGGGCTCCGCTCCCGAAGGGAACCTCTATTTCTGGTTCCTCTGCTGAGCATCTCTATAAATGCAGATAACATGCTTGTGCTGGTGCTTCTCAGTTCATAAATTTGGGGTTGTCCATGAGCTTTCTGCTATCATACAAACCAAAACACCTGCCACCACGGATCACAGCGCGGTGGACGTGGCCTCTCCCCTCGTGGCCCAAGGAATGCGGACGCTTCCCCGGCATGGGCCTGAGCACTGACTTCCCCGCACGCAGTCAGTTCTGATTAAAGACGTGAGAAGTTAAGTAGAGTTTTGGAGGTAAAGAGACCTGTTACAAGGTAGTTTTAAGTCCCGTTTGTTGTGTGTGTTGGTGAATTCTCCAGGGCAGTTGAAGGGGGTGGCCACTAACTACCCCTCCCGCCTCCCCACGGCCATTTAGTTGTACTTACTGGTTTTGGCCTCTGTGTACTTTGTAGCCTTTGCAAATCTAAATAATACCTTTCTGTGTGTTTCTAGGTTTATCAGTAGTCAGTGACGTCTTTCAGTTTTTAGGCTTTGTACTCTGACTTCTGTGGCTGTCTTCTGTTCCCTGATTGAGTCCCCGTGCTTGGTGTGTTGGCTGATTCTAAAACGTGACAAACGTCACAACCATGTGAACATCACTCATCACGTGGCTGAATCGGGTGCTTTGGTTTACCATTTTATAACAGTTTTTGTTTCTTTGATTTTCCTGGAGACTTCCTCTTTTCTTTTTAGATCTCTCACATTTCCTGGGATCGCATCGCATCTCAGAACATGTCCTTCCCGGAGTGTGTTCCTCACCAGCTCCCCGCTGCTCGTTCAGGTGGCTCTGGTGACGGTGCCTCCCAAAGCTGCTGTCCTGGGCTCTCCCTTCAGTGCCAGACCCCAGACCCCACCTCTGCCTCTTCCTTGGTTTTCTCCTTCCTTCTGCTGGGGCAGACCCTCAGGTCACAACCTAAGGAAGGGTGCGTGGGGTTAATCTTTCTCAGCCCTTTGCTGAGTGTCTGCATCTGAATGCTTCCAGTGGGAAGGGATGGAGCAGCTCACTGCCGGTTTCTAAACCCGGAGTGGTGTGTCTTTGTCAGGAAGGTCTGTGAGGCACGCCATGTGGTCATTCACTGTGCCCCCGGGCCTTGGCCGCTCTCACCGTCCGCTCTGGCGCCCATGGCTCGTGGTGTTCTCTCCTGCCACATGCAGCACGCCTGTGTGTGTGAGGCAAGAAGAGGGGGCGTCTGGGTGGTACTGGCACGTCTGCCTCTCCCTCCGACAGCCTGGTGGACTTCCCGTCGTGTGCATGGCTGGCCCTGGGTGACTTGGCCCCCGCCGTGGCCGGGATGGCGGCCGGGAATGGCATGGGGCACGAGTATTGGACGACCCGGTTGTGAGTGTCTGCAGCCTTGTGGTGTGTGTGCAAGGCCTGCAAGGCACGTGGATGGCAAGTGGGGGCCTGGCCGTGGTGGTGGGCGTAGTAACACCCCTTGTTCCCCAGAGACACACTGGGCTGAACAGTGTGCCAGCAGGCCGCGCTCCTGAACACAGTCTTCCTGGGACTGGGACTGGTGCTTGGGCCGTTTCTAGGTGGCTAGTGGGGAGCAGGGAGCATGTGTTCTCTGCACCAGGACGGTTCCTGTACCGCTCGGTCCACGACTCTGCAGCCTCCTCTCCTTGGTGCTCTGCAAGGTTCTTCTCATGATGCCTCCAAGCCAGTCCCACGTCCACCCTCCGTCCTCTGCTCACCATTGTCTGGTCCACGGCTGCTGGCTCGCATGGTGCCCCCAGCTCGCAGAAACCTGTTGCGTGGACCCTTGTTTTCATAGTGACAAGCAGACTCGATCCCGCAGTGCCCCTGAATCCACAGTGATGGAACCACCCTGCTTCCCATGGGCATTCCTGTGTGTGAACTGATACGTGACATCATCACGCATCCGTCACGGTGACTACATTTTATGTCACAGAGTTAAACGAAGTAATTCTGACAAAAGAGAACTAACTGCAGACTCTTCGTGTCTCTTAGGAACGTGTTAAATGTGCATTCCGTAGAACTATAGACTCCGGTCCCGACAGCACACTGTGAGGCTGCCCGTGGACCTCACCGCCGAGTCTGCGGTTTGCGTCAGGGTCCTGTTAGTGCTGCGGCGCCCGTGGGCGCTGCCCGACGCCACAGGCTGCTTCCCAGCGTGCCGGCAGACAGGCGTGTGTCGCGACCACTGTCCTCCGCGAGGAGTCTGTGTGTGTGTGGCTGTGCCGTGTTCTCTGAGCACTGGTGGTGGGGACACAGGGTGCTGCTGCTGGGGGGCTCGGGGCCCGTCCAGCTCCACCGCTCCAGCACAGCTACTTCGTACCCACCACCCCGTCCACCTTCAGAACTGTCACCTGTAGGTGGTGGAGAAACGAGAGGTCGGTTACGCGATAGCTGTGTTCATGTTCTTCTTTAGGTTTTAAATGATGCTAATTTGTATCATTGGCGTCCCCCCCTTTCCTGCGTTACGTCCATTGCCCCAAGTACTAACTCTTCTCTTGGGCTTACGTGGATTGTTCTCTTTTATCCGGGAGGCGTGTGATGACTCTGCTCT